TTTGGGCTCTTTCCATACTTTGGCTATTGTTGATAGGGCTGCTATAAATATTGGGGTGCATGTGTCCTTTCGAAACAGCATACCTGTATCCCTTGGATAAATACCTAGTAGTGCAATTGCTGGGCCCTAGGGTAGTTCTATTTTTAGTTTTTTGAGGAACCTCCATACTGTTTTCCAGAGTGGTTGCACCAGCTTGCATTCCCATAGGTATGATTTTTAAGTGTTATGAAAAACTGAAGTACATAGTTATCTTGAATGTTGGACCTAGATCCTCCATTTCTCAAATATAAAAAGAACCTTGATTTTGGTGGGTGGGGATGGAGGTTGAATGGGTGGGTGAGTGGCTGTTTGCTGTATCTACTATACTTTACTGTCTCCTATTAAGAAAGCTTTCACATTCAAATATACCTAAAAGGGGGGAAAAGTCCATCAAATCAGAGGCAGAATTTTTTTTTTTAATAAATATTTCCCCAACTCACTGTTTGGTTTCTGCAAAACAACCACTTTAGAAATGAAAATTTTAGTGCTGTAACAAAAATCTGAGGCTTAAGGGACTTTTCCTGCCCCAAAGGTACAGAGTTTCTGTTACCCATGTCAGTAGTTTCCCCTCCTCCCCTTCCTTCTCCCCACCCCACGTGTTTGAGGATGGAGACTCACATGCAGTAAACTCCTTGGAATAAGTAACTTTTTGTCCTTGTCTCTCAAAAAAAAATTTTTTTTTAAGCTTATAAGGACTTCATCTTTGATTCTTTAACATTTTTTAAAATTTTGAGGTGAAATTCACATAATATAAACTTAACCATTTTAAAGTGAATAATTCAGTGACATTTAGTATAGTCACAATTTGTGCAACCCCACCTGTATCGAGTGCCAAAACATTTCCATTACTCCAAAATAAAATCCCATATCCTTAAGCAGTTTGCTCTCCATTCCTCCCTCCCCTTAGCCCTTGGCAACCTCTGTGGAATTACCTACTTTGGATATTTCGTATAAATGGAATCATACAGTATGTTACCCTTTGTGCCTCGCTTCTTTCACTTAGCATAATGTTTGTTCCTCCCTACCCCCCCTCCCCCTGAGAGAGGCGGGGGACAAAGGCTAGAGAGAGAAGGAAGAGGGAAAGAGAGAGAATCCCAAGCAGGCTCCAAGCTGTCAGTGCAAAGCCTGACACTGTGCTCAATCTCACAAACTGAGACCATGGCATGAGCCAAAACCAAGAGTCAGACACTTAACCAACTGAGCCACTGAGGCACCCCTGGCATAATGTTTTTGAGGTTCATCCACACTGCAGAATATATCACAGCCTCATTCCTTTTTGTGGCTAAATAATCCATTGTTTGGGGCGCCTGGGTGGCTCCGTTGGTTGAGTGTTCCACTTCGGCTCAGGTCATGATCTCACAGTCTGTGTGTTCAAGCCCTGCATCGGGCTCTGTGCTGACAGGTCAGAGCCTGGAGCCTGCTTCAGATTCTGTGTCTCCTTTTCTCTCTGTCCTCTCCCACTCATGCTCTGTCTCTGTCTCTCTCTCAAAAATAAACATTAAAAAATATTCCATTGTATGTGTATATTACAACGTGTTTATCCATTCATCTATTGATGGACACTTGGGTTTCCACTTTTTGGCTACTGGGAATAATGCTGCAAGGAATCCGTGTGTGCATGCATATTGTTGGAGTATCTGTTTTCAGTTTGGGGACAAATCCCAGGAGTAGAATTGCTGGGTCATCTGGTCATTCTTAACATTTTTGAGGAACTGCCAAACTGTTTTCTACAGTGGCTGAATCATTTTACATTCTCCAGGAAGAGTCTTTATCAGCGTAAGACTCTTCATGCTAATAAGTTCTCTTCATGCTAATAAGAGAATTAACTTGCTTCCTGCCAATGATAGCAGATAATAGTTTCCCAATTAGCTGAGAGCTCCATATGAACATAAGTACTACCAGTCTAGAACCCTTAATACAATGTGCCTGCATAGCTTTGAAGGTGGAAGCAGTTGGTGGCAGTGAGTGGTGGTGAGAGATAGATGAGCAGGGCCTGACTGCTGTCTCTCAAGGGTAGGGACCTTGTCTAATTCATGTTTTTATCCATTTTAATCCCTAGGACAGTTACAATGAAAGATCCTTGAAACTTCAGACTCTAAGGAGTGACAGTGGCACAGTTTTCCTCCTCTAATAATCTCTCCTTATACAATGAAATGTAAAATTTTTGCTGCAGTTTGTCTCACTCTGTTAGGCAATATTAGGGAATCAAGGTGTCAACTAGACATGAGGGGATCCAAGGAAGTCCCTTGTGCTGGCAGCTGAGTGCCCACAGGTGCTGACAAAAGTCATGTTCTCTGGTCATGTTCATGGCATGCTGAGAGATAACATTCCATATTTCATACTCTGTGAGACTAAAGATGAACTGATACACCCACACAGCAAAGTACTAGAAAGCTCTGCTCTAGGGTATGTGTTCATGGGAATGTGGCTGTCCTCACCAAATTCTTTTGTATTTACCAAAATGTCACTTCTCAGGTAAACCTAAAGAGATATCTTCATATTAAAGGTAATTGGAGGTGACAGATGAAATTTTATTCTTAAAACAATTTTGGTATTTTTATATTAAATATTATATAAACTTGGATTTCTTTGTAGGTGCCAAAGAACGTTCTGAGATCTATGAAGCATTTGAAAACATCTATCCTATTCTAAAGGGTTTTAAAAAAGCCTGAGTACGTCATTCAACCATTCAGCATCTCATAATATATTGGTTTGAGAATGTGCATAAGCCCAGCACACAAACACGCACATTTTGACTCTATTTGTTAAAGAATGATTCTATATGAGTATTCATGCCTAAAAACTGAAGAAACTTTTTTCAAAATGACACCCATATTACTTTGAAAATTGAACAAGTAAACTTTTCAGAATTTGAGAGATTTATGGCCTTGCTAGAATGATAATCATGTTTAATCATCAAAATGTAATGTTCTGCTGGAGATGTAGTATATTAACATGTTCCCCGCAAATATATAGTGATACATAGAAATTTCAGATAACTGCATAGACTAGATCATAACTGCAACATCACATAGCAGGATAGAAACTAATGTGTCTATTTTTTTTCCTTTTAAAATATCTTTTTGCTTGAAATGATAGAGGAAATTATTCCTCTTGTTTAAAAATAAACTTTCAGGAACCATTCAGGTTTAGTGTAAGCTCTATTTTGAAAACAGTTTAGGGACTTCTTTTTCGTATGTGTTTATCATTCTGTGTCCTTGTATTACAATAGACCAGATAAAACTAAAAGAATGGAGCAAAGGGTTCAGATTCAAGACCTAAAGAGATTGTGGAATCCTCAGAATTTGATGGAGATGTGCAGGTTATCAGTGGGGGATGGGGCTAACATGACTCAAGACTCTTGTTCCCAAGTGCTCAGGGATTGTGTCTTTCACCAAGATGAGTAAACAGATTTGTGAGGAGGAAGCGTTCAGTTCCTGACATACTGAGTTTGTGGTGGCCACTGTACATCACTTTATGCCTCCTAGGGAGTTGTGAATCTTTAGGTGTGGAGCTTGAGAGAGAAGTCCCAGCTAGAGAATTCAAGGGAGTCATCAGTTGACAGCCTACCAAAATAATCCTGGAGAACCACTTGTCTAGGTAAATTGACCTATAAACACACTTTCCTTTTTTTTTCCTTTTGTAGTTTGGAGGCATTTTCAAACACTAATTATTCTGACTTCATCCTCCGAGCCACCCTATTTATCTACACAGAAAATAGTCTGGAGTAATCGAATTAGGTTAAATTCTACCTAGTTCCAATTTTCAGAGCATGGCCCAGAGTAGAAGAATGTTGGACATTAATTTAAAATTCAGTTTTCAGAAAGATAACTTTGATTTCTTTGGATTGATTCCACTGGTTCGCTATTATCAGTAAAGTACTGTCAGATTGCTAACAGATTACTGTTAAACGTATTTTTAATCCTCCCAACGTTTGGTAGGTACTGTTAACTATCTCCATTTAACAGATAAGAACACGAGTACAGACCAAATCACAAAGCTATAGAGGAGGTGAGTGAGCCGAAATACAACCTCTTTCCAAAACCCAGACTCCTCGCCCAACTTTGTTTGCTGTAGTTTTAACCAAATTTAAAAGCATCCATAGCGAATTAAAGAAATTCTCTGATTTTGTTCCCAGCCCGTTTTCCCCAAATCCCTAGGGCATTGTGTTACTATTTCTTGCACAAGTTTGTGGCGTTAACTTGTAGCCCTGGCACGATCAAGCGGATGATGACATTTTGTTTGGCTGACCCGGCCCTCTAACACAATTCTCCCCGCTGGGGGCGCGCTGCCCCTCAAGCCGTAAGGAAAAGTAACAGCGCCTCCCGCCAGCGGGCCTGGCAGACAGCTCTGAGAGGCTGGGCGAGGGGCTCGCGGGGATCCCGCCCGCCCTCTCGGCACCACCCCAGGCCCCTCCTCCTCGCCCAGGATGCACCTGGTTGAAAACAAAATCCCACGTGACTGGCTCTGCTCTCAGGCCATCATGGCGTCTCCCAGTGGGAAGGGAGCCCGGTCGCTGGAGGCTCCTGGCTGCGGGCCCCGGCCGCTCGCCCGGGACCTGGTGGACTCCGTGGACGACGCGGAGGGGCTGTACGTGGCGGTCGAGCGTTGTCCGCTGTGCAACACCACCCGCCGGCGGCTGACCTGCGCCAAGTGCGTCCAGAACGGCGATTTCGTCTACTTCGACGGCCGCGACCGGGAGAGGTACGGCAGCCGCTCCGGCTCTATTGTTTCTTTCCCGAGTGTCTCCTCCCGCTCGGCGAATAGTGAGGTTTGAGCCTGGGGCCCGCGTCTGGGGCCCGGAGAGAGGAGGGGAATGGGGAGGGTGGGTAGCTGCTTTGCGCCGGCGCTTTGCTCCCAGGGGTCAGGGTCGGGGGGTGGGGACCAGATGAGGAAGATCGCGGTTTCCCCGTAACCCGCGGGAGAAGAGACCCCACGGTGCTCCTGGGTACTAAAGATAAAGGAATAGATGGTGACTCTGGATAAGTCTTCCCCTATTGCTCCCATAGAGTTGCATTCTCGGCACTTTGCTGCACTTCCATTCAAAAGCTTGGTTTAACCTTTGTGTTCTAAAGCACATCCATTCTCTAGAGGAGACACCAAAAGAGAATCAGATAACTGGTTAAGAAGGATTCGGGGCCGTGATACCCTGTGTCACAGCTGGACCTTGTTAGGAGACACGCTTACTCTGATGTATGATTAGGACTAGCTAGTTGCTCCCTTTCCCCCTATGCCTCCAAGGATGCTAAGGCTTTTGGCAATGTGTTTTGGCTTCTGTAAAAATCCAGACTGGGAGCCACAAGCCCTTAGTTAAGAGAATTGAATTTAGGAACATGTTCTGGCCTTGTTTTGAAATCTAAACACAGAGCTACAAGTCCCTGGTTAAGATAATTGAAAAATTAGTCTGATTAACTGCAGGGTCTCAACGTTTGTTTCAGTGATTTAGTGTCGTTGATAGTAAGAGCTTTTTGAGCGTGAAAGTTCGGGTATTAATTCATTTGCAACAGCCCAATATGTTATTACCTCCAACTTACTCTTGAGGAAGCTGCACAGTAAGTGCCTTGTCTTGGTCACACAGATAATGAGCATAAGAATCAGAATTAAAATCCAGGCAGCATGAACCCATATATTGTGCACCTAACCACTGGATTGTACCACCTCTATATTTGGAAATATTTTGAGTTCCTAGTATTTCTCTGATCATAAATGGAGTTTCTCTTTTGAGATTTGTGTATCTTTTTAGTTCATTGCTGTGTCTCATTGATGCATTTGATGACTTTAGAAACTGCTGGTGTAATAAGTGATAGCTTTAAAAATGAAATCAGTTGCTTTCTTATAAGACTACTAGGCATGCAATGGAAATGTCTAACTGATGGAGTTTATCAAGGCTTCAGTTCTGGACTCTCTTCTCTGTCTATACTTTTTCCCAGATACATTCTCATGAATGCTAAAGACTGCCAGACTTGTGTCTCCAATCCAGACCTCTCTGAAATCCAGTAAACAGCTGCCTACTCAACATCTGTCTCTAAATTTGTAATAAGTATCTCCATCTTAATATGGCAGACTGAACTCATGGTTTTCCATGATAAATCTGTTCTTCCTCCCATGCTCATCCCAACCCAGTAAATGGTCATCTCATTCTTTTTTGATACAGGTCAAAAAACCCTGCCAGCCTTTCTTGACTTCTCTCAAAGCCACCATATCTAATCCCATCAACAAATCCTATTTGTTCTTAAAAACCTGTCTAGGGGCGCCTGGGTGGCGCAGTCGGTTAAGCGTCCG